CCGAAAGGTGTTGAGAGCAGGCTGAAGTGATCTCAATGTTAAAGACAACCTTATCTAGACAAAGCCAGATGCCACCGCTTCTTCCATTCGCATCCACGCGAAAGATGTTCGGAAAGCCAAGCTTGCCGCACACAATATTTGTCGCGGAGCCACTAATTTTGGGTTCCAAAATTAGTGAGAATGTCTGGCTTGTGTTGGTAAATTAGGAGCTTGAACGCCCTGAGAAACGCCTTGATACCTGCACCACCAACATTGCAAGACATAATTTTTACATTGGCTGTATTAACCATTAAAACCGAAAATAAGAGAGGAATGAAAAGGGTAGGGGGAATCAGGAGGTGGTCGGAGTCTGATCAAACAGTGCTAGTTCGTCGGATCTTTGGGGTTAATCGGCAGTGTTCATAGCGGTGGATCTTGTCGTCGAGACGAAGTTAGGCACCATCTGCGTTTGCGTTGCCGAATTTCACGCATCAATCTCCTAGAGAGTTAGAGTGATGAGCTTCTCCCTGGGTTTGCTTTTCTTTTCTTTCTTCGGAGACCATATGGGAAGGGCTTTGGACGTAGATGCCAATGGAACCCCTTTCTTGCTCGATCGTGATGTCTTCCCCTGCTTGTTCTTTAGTCGAAGACTGGACAGAGGAATTAGAGGGTCGATAGCGTAGTGGCTAGGGGGATCGGGACAAGGGGTGTAGACTATAGTAACCGGCTCCCCGTTTAGCCCAAAGACCATGCGAGTCTTACTACTATCCAGACCTGTTGCCTTTTCGTTGGTCTCGTGAGGTTGGACGATTGGCCTGGGGGTGGGGGGTCTGGGGCGACCTGACAGAGGTCGTGTTCGGGGGAAGGCCCAGCAAGCCTTTCCCATTTGGCTTCATCGCTACCGGAGGAAGCTTCTTTTCACTAGTACTAGCCGTTGAGCCATTATTTGATTGACCTGTTGGGGATTTCTTCTCTTCAGAAATCCTTTTCTCCAAACTTTCCAACTTGGACGCGCCAGAGGAGCTTCCTTCATAATTCTTGCTCTTGTTACCCTGACCCATTCCACAATTATTTCCATTGAAATGTCCACTTGCCTTTCCTTTTTCATTACATGTAGTATTTTTATCCCTCCCGAAGGTGATGGACCTCCACTTTCCTTTTGTGTCTGAGATTTCTTTCCCGATATAGATCCCTGAGTACTTTCCTGATTAAACGCCTGTGATGATTGTTTCCTTTCCGGTTTACGGCTTTTTCGTGTGACCTGCATCTAGGGTTCGAAGCCTTCAGGAACTTCTACCTCCACCGCTGACTCCAGTGATGTATTGTTCCGCAATAATGGGGTTTCTCTTACCAGAACCAGCGCCCGATTGAGTTTGGGACAGGCAGCATCTGAATGACCAATAATACCACACTCAAAGCATGTGTTATGTAGGTTTTCTTTGACCACTTTCTGACAAAATCCATCTAATCTGATTCGAGGTCGGAGCTGCTTTGACATGTCCAATTCTATAGAGATTCTCGCAAATTTTCCTCGGTGAACGTGTTCGGTGTGATAGTCCAGCTTGATCGTTTGGTGTCCACACTAAGATCTAATACTACTAATACTACATACACTAACAACAACTTACTAGTACTCATAACCAAAAGGAATCATCGTGAAAATGCAACTAATGTAAACCAGAGTCTCCAATTGTTGGCTGCCTCTGCAAAACTCAGCACAATCAACCATCTTTAACTCTACCTCTCCTTTCTCGATTTTACTATCAACTAATGAGCTTCTTGATAAGATTCCAAGCTCGTGAAAGGTTAGGTTATTTCTCAAAGTCGTGCAGCTTCGATCTTTTTTGGATTTTTATAATATCTTTTCTAAACACTCGAAAAAAATAAAGGGATAGGGTGGAATTGCCGTGCAACTTCAACACATATAGAGAAAAGGCTCGAACAATTATAGCAGGTAGCAACTCGATCACAATCAAGGTGGGTACTTGACTGACACAGAGCTCGCTCGAATGTTGTAGATCCACCAACAAACAAAGACAAAATTCAAGAGTAAAAACTCAATTAACCGAAAAGGCGTCCTATCGGTTATTAGCACCTTCATTATAGGGGGTCCTTCTGATCCAATTCCCCTATCGCCAACCTCAGATCCCCTATAGGGTATTTTAACCCACATGATAGGGGATTTTTCGTGATCACTATACGATGTTTAGGATGCTCGATGTCCAGGAAGCTTCAATCTTCTCACCCAATGCCTTCACGATCTTTATCAAGACTTTTGATCTCATTCCCAACACCTAGCTTCACTCTAATGTCTCCCAAACAAAACAAGTAAGCTCCCAAAGTAGGTACCACAGACTGTTCCCAGACTTAGCCAAATTTCCACCTTCTCCTTCCCTTGACTTGGTTTCTTCTTTGAACATCAATGAGAATGGTTTTGGGTCACAATCCATGATCACATCAGTCCCTCCCTATTGGCAAAGCTTTGCCCTCAAAACTTGTATGTTCCTGCACGAGAAATCATCATCACAATAGTTGTAAAAAGGGGTGAGATAAACCATCTGCTTCTTTTCCACTTTGACCATCGCGTAGGAACCTCCATCGCCATTCTATAGTTCTGGACAGTTGATCAACGATTGCTCTGCTTTCAGACTCGCCTGCTCCTCCTCAAAATTCGAACTATGTTCCACAGGAGCAACACAGGAGTCGTGGAACCCAGTTGGTGCCGAATTATCGCGGACGGTCGTTGCTTGAAGTAGGGGGTAGCCAACATCTTCTGCATATCCTTCCAAAGACCGGTGTCGACTAACTTCTTTCTTCCTTCGACCGACTCGTTCATGTCCATCGTATACTTTGAATCAATCATGATTTGAAACATAGCTTATGATCTTCTTCTCCTTGCTACTGATTTGAACTAGAAATACACAAACCAAAATCGAAGATATATATTTTTTTCTCTTTCAACCAACGTTCAACTTTGTGGCTGATGACCAATTTTTTTTTTGTTTACTTAGTTTTTTTCCATGTGAACAATACCGATATCACAAATTTTTTGTTAACAGTAAATAACGAAATAAAGATACCTCTTCCTTCGTTGAGATATTACAATGGATGCTAGAGCCGGTGCTATTCTCCAGAAGATTAATGGTTGGAAACAACATATGTCTGATTTAGCATTCCGATTTATAGGTAGGCAAAGCAATCGGGTGACCCATTTGGTGGCTAAGAAAGCCCTCTCATCGTGTCCTATATATTGGTATTTCGGGGTTTGATTTTCGTCTTTGGGCGATTTCTACGATGTAAACTTTCTATCCTTTTCTTGATAATGCAAGTTAGCTATTGGCAAAAAAAAAAAAAAAGTATGCACTTGCCTTATAATTGCCATTTTGGGGAAGTGATTCATGTTAAAACGATGTGAATTGTCACTTGTGATATGACAGACAAGAAAACACATGAATTTGCACAAAATCATTCAATAATTACTTTGTTTTGAATGATTTAGTATTTAGCAATTTAGGGTTAAGATTTGGGTTTACAATTTGAGGTTGAGGGTTAGGGTTCAAAATTAAAGATTTGGGCTTAAAACAATGCATTGATTAGTTGTGGTTCTATATGATATCAATATATTATACTATTGTTACCAATTAAAATTAAAATTTGGTATCTTAGCTTTACATTTAGAGTTAAGTGTGTAATATGCACTCACTTGCACTATAGAAGCCAATACATATGTTTAGTATTTAGAAATGTAAAGAAATCTAGTGAGTGAATTCCCTTGTAACAAAATCGAGGTTTATATATTCTTAGTTGGAAGTAAGTTTGTATACGTGCCAAACAAAAATGAACCTGCTTCTCAATTTGATGGACCACCACTATGTCTATATATGTAACAGTATTAGTGCACAAACTGCCATAAAAGCTCAATTGGGCTTGTGGTCCAATAATATTTGCTATATATATATATATATATATGAGGAGTTCTACGGTACTCAGGGTGAAATTCGGGGTATCGCATACCTTGAGTAAAAAAATGATATCCAGAATTTTGAATTGACTGATCTTTCGGACATGATAGTATACTCTAACCCTTAAAGATCAAAATCTAGGTCTTAATTTTCTAAGTCTTATACCCCAAGATCAATTTAATTAGATACAATAATCGACGGTTATGATTCATCCAAATATAGGCAAAAAAATAAATGCACATCTTAGGGTTTATAGTTTATGATTTAGATAATTAGGACCTAGGGTTCACTCATTAAGGGTTAGGGTATAGTATTATTCCAAAAAATCCTGCTAATTTGATGTATAGATAGTGTTTTCATACTCAAGGTATGCGGTACCCCGGATTTCACTCGGGGTACCGTAGAAGGCACCATATATATATATATATCAATAAATAAAGTATGGGTAAGGTGTTAATTTTATTAAATCCTTTATTTTTCCAAACATAGTACTATGTGATTACCAGCAAATTGCGCAAAAAAAGAATAGTTGACTGGTGGAATGTGATGCATTGCTAACCTCCTGAAGGGTTAGTATTATTGTCATTAGTTATTTCATAAATTAAATGCTGTGGACTTTAATAATACAATACTTAGGGCTTCTGTCTTATTATTCATAGAATTTTGAGTGATTGTTTTGTAATATATTTTGTTTTCCTTTTTGAAATAAACGTCTATTGTTTAAAGTCTACTGTACTCTTTTTAGGTTTGTTTATGTGTATGCCGATGAGTGGTCTGTGGCAGTCCAGAAATAGATATTTCTCATAATACCATAAAATGAAAATAAAAATGAAATCTAACACTACTACTTGACATTTTTTAGGTATTATTATTGCTTCGTGTGCTGGCTGGCTGGTGATGACAAATTGCCAATAAACCATTTAGTAAATCTAGCCATCAACCTCTCTTTCTCTGAAGACAACAAACCCAAAGTCTGTAGCAAAAGAGATCTGCCATATCCAAACCACCGGAACACACAAATCGATCCGACGACCGGCCGGTGACAACAGCTCCGATCCAATGGGGGAGCAGCAATATTATTCATACTACTCTCAGGCAGCGCTTTCTCCTCCTCCTCCTCCTCCTCCTCCTCCTCCCGCTGACGAAGAAAGGAAACTCTTCCCACCCAGCAGCTCACCTTCTTCTTCCTCCTCCTCCTCTGCAGATCTCATGAGCAGTAAGAAAGCAGGAGGTGGCGGCGGTGGTAGTAAGGCGGCGGCGGCGTACAGAGGGGTGAGGAGGCGGCCGTGGGGGAAGTACGCGGCGGAGATAAGGGACTCGACCCGGCACGGGGTGAGGGTGTGGCTGGGGACGTTCGAGACGGCAGAGGCGGCGGCGATGGCCTACGACCAGGCGGCGCTGTCCCTCCAGGGAGCCAAGGCCGTCCTCAACTTCCCCGTCGATGAGGTCAGCAGGTCCCTCCGGGAGATCGGCAGCGGCGGCAGCATATTCGAGGAATATTCTTCCCCTGCTCAGGCGCTCAAGAGGTCGCATTACATCAAGCGGAAGGCACTCGGCCGGAGCAAGAGAGAGAAGAAGACGCCGCCGTTTGAGACGGGCCGACGGAAGAAGGAGGAAGTAGTGGAGTTTGAAGATCTCGGAGCGGCTTTCTTGGAGCAGTTGCTGTGTGAGAGCTCCTCCGGCGGGGTAGCTGCTGCAGATTAGTAATTTTGCGAGAAAAGCGGGTTCGCGCGGTATATGCATCGTTTCCACTGCTACTGCTATATATATATGTGTGCTTCCATGAGTGTGTTGAGTAAAGCATGAACTTGATTGAAAGCAAATAACAGCACATATATATTCACTTTGTGAGCAAAAGGGTTTCGATACAGAGGATTACAGTGGAACTTTGTTGTTAATCTGTGTGGAAGCTAAGTCAGAGGGGAAACTGAAGCTGAGTCATGAGGGAAGGCAAATGAGGAATGCCCCAACTTTTGTATGTTTCTCTACTGCTCAATCTCCACTTGTTTGTTTCCTTGCTTAGTGGATTTAGTCGATGGTTTCATGGAATCCAGTACTGCTTACAAAACTTGTTCATCTTCTCTTGTTATTGATCTATAGTCTCTACTGCTTTCTTTAACTTGTATACGTACGTGAAGTTTTCAGCACAAGTACCTAATTAACCCAAGCAAGCAAATTGAGGGTGGGGAATAGTAGAGTCTTGTTTGGCTTTACAGAAGGTCTAATTGATCAACTTGGTAACTCCATCCATGGGGAAACTGTAGAAAAAAGTTAGAGGAACTTATCATTAATTCATGCCTCTAATAGCTAGCTAGTTTGTGGCATGGACACACACACAACAATGCCCTAAGAAGTGAATGTTTTTGTGGCTGCTATTTTTGGTAACAATATATACTGTCTTGTTTGCTAATATCATGCCTGCTTTACTCGACGTCCGGTTCATGATTGTAATTGTGAACAACGTACGAGGTCGACAAGGAGGTGGATTGAGGAAGAGGAAGAAGTTGTGGAGGATTTTCGATCGAGGATATGTTCATGGGTGTATATATGTATACTTCTTAAGCCAATTGGGGTCAACGTACGTACTTGGGAGTTTGCAGGTCGATCTCTCCTACTTTGCAACCCAAATTGATCAGAGCCTTTGGGTTGATCACTTCTACTATACTATAAAATATTGGTGCTTTAATGTACAATTTAAAATTGTACCATAACATTAAATGTATAAGTTGAGGTCAATGCAGTCAAAATCGTGTTTTAAAACTTAAAAACTTACGGTTTTACGCTTCTAGGACACCAAAACGCTTTCGTTTCCATATAAAATCTTAAGTGTATAAAATCGGGACTAAAATGCGCTTTAAAGCTTAAAAGCTTACGCTTTTACGCTTCTGGTTCACTAAAACGCTTTACGCTTTTACGCTTCTAGTTCACTAAAAGAGTATTCTATTCATGAAAATACTTATATTTTAAAGGTAATTAAATCACAAAAAATATGATATATTTGAGATTAAAAGATACATATCAAGTATTTGGGTGCATTCTTAGTTTCAATAGAGTAATCTAATTCACCAGCTATGCCCTTCCCAAATTCACTAGCATAGAGGGGAATGTAGCTTATTGTTAAGATATATGTTTATGAACTTATTGTTAAAATGTTATGAGTTTCTCAACTTTAGACATGAATTACAAGTATTGATTAACTTATTTAAAATATGTCCACTCATATTTTATCGTACTTAACACATTTTTCGTTATATTAAAGTATGCGTAAAAAACTTACGTTTTTACGCTTTGATTCTACGTTTTACGATTTTACCCATTTTCCGCTTCTAGGTAGAATCGCGCTTTTGACTGCATTGGTTGAGGTTGTACCATAAAGCAACTTGTACCATTATGTTATGGTACAAGTTCACAACTTGAAGTTGTACCATAACATAAAGGTACAAGTTCACGTTGTACCATAAAAGAATTTGTACAAAAAGTATAGGTACAATATGAAGTTGTTGAAAGTACAATTTCAAATTGTACCATAAAAGCAAAACCCTATAGCACCAATGCTACATAGCATTGTAAAATTCCTCCTTTGGGTTTGGTGTAAATTTCATTTGCTTAACGTCATTCTAGTATTGAAATTAGGCGAATGGGGAAGCTAGCTAAATTCATGGTTATGGTTATGAAATTTTTTTCATTAATGGTATTATCATGGCTGTTGGTATCACTATTACCAATTTTCGTATAAATTTGAAATTTTATCCAAACGGTATTCAAATTAGATTCGAAGATGTAGAAAGTATAAACATATCGTACATCCAGCGATTAGCGAAATTGGAATTTGGAACTAGAATCAATAGTGTAACCCTTTTAAAAAACATGTTCTTCTCATTTAGTCCTTTTTGCGCCTTTGTTATTTTTTCCCCGCGCTTTGGGTTAGCTTCTTTTGGTTATATGTTGCTTGATGTCCTAATTCATCATGCATAATAGTGGAACTAATTAACTTCCTGAACTTAATTACTCGTTTATTTGCTATTTGTACTTTGTAAGTTGCATCTCTAAGTGCATTAAGGAACTGGTTGAGGGAACAGCCAGCCTTGGGGCTTTGCAAAAGGTCTAATCCTCATAGTTGAATTAGCAATATCAGGGAAACAATCAGTAGAAAAGTTGAAGAAAGGGACTGTTGTGGCAGTCATGATCAATGCATCTAATTCACAGTGGCAAGAAAGATAATCCACCACAAGGTACCAATAAGAAAATGCCAAAAAAATTGATTGTTTTGTGGCTGCTATTTTTAGTAAGAGTTGGTGGTCTCAGGCTCAGCAAGCAAGATATCTATCTGTCTTGTCCTTTCGTTCCTCCCAACTGTTTTATTTGGAAATTTATCTCACGAGTGAAATAGCAAGATACAAGCAAGATTTTTGCAAGTTAAATTACAAAGAAGAACAAAAAAAAAAAAAAAAAAAGTCAATTAGAAGACAATCCAACGATAGGAGAGTTTTTGTCACGATATGAGAAAAATTTTATTATACTTGCGTGGGACAAAGTGAAACGAGGCATGCTGCAAACACCTAATGTGCGCGCTGAATCCTTTTTATTAATAATCTGAATGATCACAAGTGCGACTTGGACAAAATTCACGAATGCTAACCTAAGGAAGGACAAAAGTCATGGACCGAACCAACGTTAAAAGATAGAACTACGTAGTGCAACGAACCACTGCAAAACTAACAAACAAGAGAGTACTCCAATCAAATGAATACACTCCGTCAAAATGACGAACCAAAATGATACAGACTGCCACAAAAAAGCACGCCAAACTCGACGTCGTCAATTGTTGGATTTCCATACGATAATCATGTTACTAGATCGTGGAGTTCACTTATAACTATAAAAAAGCTTGTGAACTTAGGTTACCCGAGGTAACCTCTTTACGCTCCAATGATTCCTCCCAAAATTTTGCTAATATACCATATACTAAGATGAATAGTGTGTCTATAACTAGTCATAACAAATAATAAAGGTAGTTTCTTAGGTGGATCATTATTGAACCAAGCCCTTGGATTCATTGGCATTCCTACCCTATCTTATCTGCAACCAGCAAGCCTAGCTAACGACCTATATATAGTGTTAGCATTTGGCCTTTAGCTAATAGCTACATGCCTTTGATGACAATGATGAGGTTTGTTAGCTTCTTTTAAATTAATTAAATAAAATTAGCACAGTAGGCCAGCATTATTATGTAGTATTAGGAATGATAATGAGTTGAGTTGGGGGCTACTACTGTTAAATTCGTGCCCTGTCCCGTCCTACAATTCTTAATCCACCTTATCTCGTACCTTGTAAAGGGTCGGAAATTTTTGCCTCATAATGTCCTTTAGAATAAAAATGTCAAATTATATCATAAACTCATGTATGTGGCACAAGGTTTTTATCTTGTGCTACGAAAAAGTTAAAACCACCTAACAAATTGTATTTTATATGGTAGAAATAAATTCAATGAATGGAAATTAAGTGTTATCGCAATGGCCAGCAGAAGTTGAAGGGAGATTTTGCGGAATAACTATGTTTTCTCCACAACGTTTATAGAGCAGGACGGAGCAGGTGTAGGTTGTGTCGTTTTAGTGAAGCCTTTAGGCAGATTTTATTAATCAGCAAAGAAAAGTTACAATATCCTTTACATATTCATCTATATATACGAATCACTAATTACCTATACAGTACTTACAATATATACAATTTACAACTATACCTATAAACTAATACAAACCTACATCTAAGTCCTCGTCGTTTCCTCCTTGGACAACTCCCCCCGCAAGCTGGTGCGTATATATCAAGACGACCCAGCTTGGACTGCCACTGTTGAAAAACATGAACTGGCAGAGACTTTGTAAACATGTCAGCAAGTAGCAGAGGAAACATGTAAAACTTTAATAACTTTATCTAGAATCCTATCCCTAATAACATGACAGTCAATTTCTATGTGTTTTGTACGCTCATGATTGACTAGATTATCAGCAAGCTTTATGGCAGACATACTGTCACAATAAATGGGAGTGGGAGAAGAAAGAGTAATCTGCAAAACACTCAAGATATAACGTAACCACATCACTTCACAGGTTAAACTTGCCATAGCTCGGTATTCAGCTTATGCTGAAGAACGGGAAACAGTTTTCTGTTTCTTAGAACGCCAACTAATCAAGGAATTCCCTAACAAAACACAAAAACCTGTTGTAGATCTACGCGTGTCTGGACAACCAGCCCAATCACTATCACAAAACGCCTTTAATTTAAGTTCTGAGGCAGCAGAGAAAATAAACCCTGTCCTGCAGTACCTTTGATGTAACGCAAAACGCGTTCAGCAGCTTGCATGTGCAAGTCAGTAGGATTATGAGTAAACTGACTAAGCTGATGAACTGAATAAGCAAGGTCAGGACGCGTATTGCAAAGATAAAGAAGTCTACCTACTAATCGTTTATAGACAGAAGGGTCAGAAAGTACCTTACCAGCAGTAGCAGATAATTTAGTACCTGGAACAGAAGGAGATTCGCATGGTTCTGCACTAAGAAAACCATAATCTGTCAACAGATCCAAGGCAAACTTCCTTTGATATAACAGAATACCCTTATCAGATCGAGCAATTTCAAGACCAAGAAAGAATTTTAATTCACCAAGATCCTTAATTGTAAAGGTCTGATCGAGCTGTTGTTTTAGAC